AATCCCATTTTCTCATTCAGTAGCTCCTCCTCCATCACTCTTCTCATCCTGATTATGTCTTTCCCGCCCCATCTTTTCACTCTTGCTTCTCTTAGTCTCCCTTATCTCTGCTTTACTCTCGAAACTAGAGTAAAATAAATAGTGATTTTAGCACACCATTTTTAAAAATAAAATTTGTAAGTTTTCTTAACTTGCTATAAAAAGTAGTTAAAATGAATATTATTTGTTTCCTCCCTCGTTTGCCCACAAGGAAAAAAAAATTAAACATTGTTATAAGTCATTTTGAGCTGATACCTAATGAATTTGTTTGATTTTTGTTTGTTATGTTTCCTAATGGAGTTAGATTTTTAATAAGAGAAAAAGCAAACAACCCTCTTCTAAAGATTAAATATTAATCAAAAATAATAGAAAATTTGAGAGAAAAAACCTTGAAAAATGTTGCTATTCATCTGAAGAAAAGAATAAGGTATACGAGGATTCGGGCTCTTATTCAAAATGAATAAGAATTTGTAAAACTCCCCATCTTCGAGTCATGGCAAGTGGTCAGCTCATGCATCTAAAAGCTCAACCTGATGGAGAGTAGATACTACCATTGCTCAACCCTTCCCACAAACTGGCCATCAGCACATACTTTACCACCTGCCTTCAACGCAATATTCCTATACGCACTTTACCCAGGATTCAGGCACAGTTACTGCCACATCACCCTACAGTGTGACTTCAGAAAAATAAAAATTAGATTGATATCACTGATTCAACAGCTAAAGAACTAGACTGGGAGTTGGATTAATTAGGGACTCGGTTCTAGCTTGAGTCAACTTAGAGTAATCCTAAATGTTCTTTATCCCTAAAATTAGATGATTAGACTAGATGATCCTCAAAGGTCTTTACGTTTTATGAATTGGTTCTGTCAATCTAGCTTAGAAAAGTAATACTCCCAACCTGAAGTTATTTTCCCAAAATAAAGTGTGAAAAGCAACACCACCGTACCTCTGGGCTTGACCCCTTTCTTTGCGGGCAACTGAAGCCACCTAGTGGTCATAGAAATCCTAGCTTCCAGCTCTGACAAGCCCATTTCAAGAGGACTGTCCTCTCTGAGTTGTCACTGTCCTCTGTTCCCCACTCCACCCAGCCCCACTAAGGTCTGAGAACCCGATGAATCCTCAGGAAACTCGAGGACATCAAAGAAAAGATCTTTGGCCAGCTTTTCAGAAAACATGGGGATCATCAGGCCTTTGAATCTAGAAGGGTATTTCCATTTCATCTTCACCCTTTGAGTGGTCCATAATATAGGAAACCTACGTGACTCAACACGAGTATCCTGCACTATTCAAATGTGCTCTTTGAGTTAGATAGCTTATTATTTAATTTTGTTCCATCCTTTTAGATAGCAAATAATTTAGACATAAGAGATTTATTGAAAAATTTATCTAAACCTGTTAAGTTTCTAAGTTCAGATAAAAAGTCTGAATAGTAGTACATACATGTGTTTCTGCATACTCTCCCAAAAAAATGTTTTTACTGGTGCTTGAAGTGTCCAAATGGAAAGGAAGGAGCCAGAGTCCTCTCTCACTGAAAGAACTCACCAAGTGTCACCAAAACATCTCAATAGTAAATTACAAAATTTACACATTTTTTTTAATCAACATTAGAACCACTGCAAATAACTTAAATCAAATAACAGAAATTTAGACTATAGATAAATTCATTTAACACTGCATGTTTTATTCCAGAGTAACACTAAGGTCTAAAAACTCCAGAAAAAATCAGTGGGATTTCTGTCTAAAACACCTACGATAGGACAAGCACTTCGACTCAGGCCAATAGTGCTACTTAATAAAGAAGTAATATCATATCTTGGTATCTAATGCAAGAGCAAATTTTAAAATATATATACATATTGTTCCTAAAGTTAAGCTCGAATAAGTATAAAGAGGAAAAGAAAAACATAATTAAGATTTTTTTAAAGTCTTTCTATTTAAAGAACATTTTATTTAACCATATTGTCCATCTGAGTTAATGTGGTGGTAGGTTCTGTGAATGACAGAATTTTTTTTATTTAAAAATAAAATTTAATTTAAAAATAAAAGAATGTACTTTTTATGGTGACATTGGTTAATGAAATCCAATAAGTTTCAGCTGTACATTTTAACAATAAGTCATGTATATATTTGCACTGTGTGTTCACCTCCCATAGTTAAGATTTCTTTCTGTGAATGACAGAATTTTATGCTGGAGAAGTCATCAAATAAATCAAGTATTGTGTGCCCTACTGCTTCCATCTTTAGTAAACATTGCCAAAATTAAGGTCTCTGGATTATTACTGTTCCTTGAAGCACACTAGCTAACCCAAGGCACCAGTATTTTATGAAGAATCAAGTCAAAGATGTTACATGCATTGGACACATAAGATTTCTGTGGTTTTAGTAATAGGGCATAAAATTAAACGATAGAGTTTGCTTAGGAATCTGAAAGTAATTGTTTCATCATTCAGTAAACAGATCCCTGCCTTAACAATACAGTCAAATGAAATTCCAGATGGATTTTAAAAGTTAAATTTAAAAATATAAAACTGCAAAAATATTTATCTGCCCTTAGGATAGAAAGAACTTTTGCTACAAGAAAGCAATAGAGGCAACTACAAAGGAAAAGATCTCTAAACCACATAAAACTTTTAAACTTATTATATGCTGTAAAAAAACATGGTAAAAAGAACGAAAGACAGACAAACTGGGAAAACACTGGCAACCAACATAAAATATATAATTTAAGTTGGACTATATGAAGTTGTGAATGTTCAACCTTTTGACCTATAAAAACAATTTTACATTTCTATTAATATGCAAAGAACTCTCACAAATCAATAAAAATGAGATTATAACCAAAAAGGAAAAGGTCAAAGGAAATGTACGATTCACATATAAAAATAGTCAACAAATAGATGAAGAACATTCCAAAACCAAAGAAATATATATTTTTAAAAAGCTACATTTGATTATTTAATACCTCAAATTAGCAAAAATTATATTGAAAAATCAAACCTGCTATTAGAGAAGGTACATATAGACAAATTCTTTAAATAAGAATGTAAATTTGTATATATACTCTCAAACACATACATAAATACAGCTCACAAGAGATAAAAAAATGAAATTTCTTTTGTTAATAAAACAAATGAACAATACATTTTAAAAACAAATGAAAATAAATGCAGTCAATCTAATAATCTCTTGTTCAGCCTCATTTATGCAAAATAGAAATATCTTAAGTAATCAAGTTCTAAGTCTGCTTTTTATGATTATATGCAGATATCAAAGAAATCTTACAAATTTAAATACAATTTATTGCACCCAATTTTTACTCTGCCTCAGTGAAGAACACATGATTGAAAGACACTTCCCATTAAGCACAACGGACAGACTCGGAGCGGGCAGCCCTCCCTCAGCCCCAGCAGGCTGGTCCTGGTCACTTGAACATACTTTGATTCACTTCGCTATTATTCAACAACAGAACAGAAACTACAAAGGCAAATAAAACCTAGTCTTGTCCCACAAGAAACTGGTCTAGGTGTAGAAAAACTTGGTTTTTTTTTTTAATGGCAACTGCAACACAACATGTTAGATGCTACAGCACAGGAGGAAGAGAGTACAGTAACTGCGTAAGAGCAGAACAAGGCTTCGCAGGGCAGAGGATGCAGAAGCCGGATCCTGACACAGAAGTAGATACTCGGAAAAAAAAAATGGACAGCCTAAAGGCTGAGGACTCTGGCCTTAGTGAACTCATCCAGTCTCATGACTTTAAATAACTTTTGGGGGCTGGCTCCCACATTTATATCTATCTCCAGACAGACCCCTCTCCCAACATCCAGCCATGTATATTCATTCAGCAGCCTACTTGATATCTCCACAGGGAAGGCCAACAAACATCTAAAGCTGAACACGGCTACAAGTGAGTTCCTGATTTGGGCTCCTCTTGTCCAACTCAAACCTGTTCCTCCTGCAGCCTTTTCATATTTCCAAGACAAGAAGATATATTAAATATTCAGTGAAATAAAGAAGTCTAGAGCAGCTAGAACAAAGAAAGATTAGGTCAGGATGGGGCCAAGAAATTACATGGAGTTAAGTCATATAGGCTCTTATAGACTACTAAAAATTGTGAATTTTATCCTCAAACAA